TATTTTGGTGAATTTGGCGTTTCCAAAGGAAACTGGGATGGGCCCGGAGAGTTTGTTGTGGGAGAGGTCGAGGTAGAAATCGTCGTTCTTTAAGGACCCCAACGATGGAGGGATCGAACCGGTTAGGTGGTTGCGGCTCAGGAAGAGTGCTCCGAGGTTGGGGAGCTGGGAGAGTGAACCGGGAATTGAACCGGTTAGGTTGTTGAATGAAAGGTTGATGTATGTGAGGTTTGTGAGCCGGCCCAGGAAGGATGGAACCGGGCCTGAGATGTTGGTCCAGTCGATGCGGAGGAACTTGAGGTTGGTGAGCTTTGCGATTGTGGGCTGGATTGGGCCTGTGAGTTTGGGGAACTTGTGGAATTCGAGGGTCTCAAGGTAAGGGAGGTCACCCACAGAGGGTGGTATTTGACCTGACAAATTGGTGTTTGGGACGGAGGAGAAAATAGTGAGTGAATTGATACGGTGCGTTTTTGGGTCGCATTCTACGCAGTACCATTCGCAGCAATCCGTGTCTGGTTTCCACGAGGCTAGCACGTAAGGGTTGTTAAGTTCCTTCTTGAATTGTAGCAGCACTTTCTTGTCTTGTGGGTTGCAATGCTTCGAGAATGCAACTGGAGAGAACAATAGTAACGCGAGGAAGCATAATCCAAACGTGGTTCCCATTTTTGGTAGGATGAGAATGTGAAACGACAAGTGGAAGAGCGTTGCAATTTATAGAATGCGATGGGAAACATACTTCATGTTGTTAGATCTGGAGATAGATATCCAGAGGGGATGATGTGACAAAAGCAACTAGATACAGCTCTATTCTTTTGTTTTTTATATACTAGTTGAAATTTAATCTTTTTTTATAGCACAAAAAGAGAAAAATATTGATTATATTGTCCTTTCATTATCTTAATTTTTTTACACACAAAATAATATATAATAAAAAATATTATGATAAATGTTATATTAATTGATTATAAAAAAATTATTTTATATTTAAACCACTTATGCTGGACTCTCTTTTTTATACTCTTCATCAATATACATCAAAAACCTTTTAATCATGTAGTCCTATTTTCAATAATAAGATATATATATATATATATATATAAAATACATGTGACACTCGTTATTTGTGTGATATTCTCTATATATAGATTAAGTAATTCTTATAGCAATGTAAGAATACTAAAGTTTATATTATTTATGGCTATTTATCCATTTAAGTTCAACGATTCAGACAATTTTAATTTTAAACCCTTAAATACCAAAATTAAAAGTATTATTTACGCTAATACAAAATTATACTGAACATATATATTAAAAGTCTCACCATCTGTTTACCACAAAAAAAAGGAAAAGTGTTTATCCTTTTAAATGACATAATTTATATCATTTTACTCTCACAAAGAAGTGAGATTTACACCTTTATTTTTTTGTTAATTCTCTTTCCTCCTTTATCTATCTCTTTCTCTCTCTTAAAATGATATAACTTTATATCTTTTAAAATGACACACACTTTTTAAAAAAATAAATAAAAAATCATCACCATCTTTTTACTATGAAACAGAAATAATAATATAAAAACATATCAGTTGTCATATTCGTTTGGCCTTTATGAGTTATCAAAGAGGATAAGGTGATGTGGTCAATCGTACACCGCAAAGCAGGCAAAAAAAATTTATTTATTGTTTTTTAATAAATTATTTATGTATTTGTAATAGTTTTTGAAATAATAACGAAAATAATGCACAATGTGGCGCCCAAATTGGGCGTCACATGATTAGGCGTCTCACCCATATGGGTGATGCCTAACTGGGGCGTCACATCTGCGACCCTATATATTCTTTTTTCACTCTATTCACTCTTCATACCTCTTTTCTCACTCTTCATATATCTTCTCTACCAAAAATTCTGACATCATACATACAAAATCCTTTATCTTTAATTTAGTATTTTCATTTTATTTCTTATTCTATTTAATAATGAGTTCACATACTAATTCTGTTCGTGTTGTGTTATATTACAATGGTAGGAAGGTAGAAAGTCAACGAGGTGTCATGTTTGAAGGTGAAAAAAGGTTGACACGTATCCAACGCAACGCAACCATTGGCGAACTGCAATAGAGAATTCGGCAGAAATTAAGTCTTCAAGGCAACCAATGTATCACTCAGATTACGACAAGGTTATGACAATGTGATAAATACATTAATTTGCAAGTGGTTGACGATGAAGACGTGAAGATGATAATGGAAGAATTTTTCAACCAGTCAAGGACAGATTTTCTGGAGTTATATGTCGATATCACCACAGCGGAGAATGTTTCATTACCGGTGAGGTCAGTTGATTTAAATTCCCCCTGTCTTCCATTAACGTCTACCGCTCATCCGTCTCCAGTTAGTAACATTTCCGAGGGAGATGAAAATGATCCGAATTGGGAAATGCATGAAGAAGACAACGACGATGATGATGAAAATATCGCAATGGAGGAACGTCTTCTGGCGGGGGATGCTAGTGCTTCAGAAGGAGATGAAGGTGGTGAGATGGGTACGTCTCAAATCCCAGTATACCATGAACCAGTGGTCGCGCAAATGCTGCAATTGCATGACGTTGCGTCTTCCCCTTTAGGAAATCATCGTGAAGGTAATTGATATAATTTGTATATACCTGAATTGATACCTGATTTAGGGAGTTTGTATTAAAAAGTTGTAATTATCATATGCAGGTGACGAAGCTATTATTCCTTTTTGGGAAGGAATTTCGCATTATTCGTACATTGATTGGAGTTATCGGAGCGAAATAGAATCATGCACTGATGGTACGATTTCAGGATCAGGTTCAATACAAGGTCTGTGGCAACTGGGTGACAAGTTATTTGTGAACCAAGAATTTGCAACAACAAAAATGTCCAAATGGCACTTAAGCACAACCTCATTAGGGAGCATTAAGAAGCATTACAATTAAGAGCACGCCTGCGAAGTTATCCATGAAATGTTGTGCGTATGATAAAGGTTGCATGTGGCGCGTTAGGGCGATCAAACCAGTGTTTGGTGAAAATTGGAAGATTACGAGATAGGGAGGAGATCACAATTGTTTGAATGACCACATTTCCCAGGGTCATAGACAGCTCGATGCGGCGGACGTTATTGCGGATCTCGTCCTAGGTACGTATTTATTTACGATGAGATCTGCTGTGTAATTAAATTTGTTCTATGTAATGTTGTCTGTAATCTCCACGTTCTATGGCTTTAAAGTTTCGTACAGAAAGGCATGGTATGCGAAGCAGAAAGCGATGACAATTATGTATGGTGATTGGGAGGAATCATATGCTTTTTTGCCAAGGTGGTGCGAATACATGCTTCGCTTTTCTCCAGGTTCATTTTATCATATCCAAACAAATGATTTTTATGTGGAGCATGGGTTAGTTACTAGAAAAAAAATGTGTCATTGCATTTTTTGGACGTTTAGAAAGTGTTGTGAGGCGTTCAAATTTGCCAAACCAGTCATACATATTGATGGAACGCATTTATATGGAAAGTACAACGGCAAATTGTTGGTGGCCACAGCCCAAGATGGAAATGATGAATGTTTACCGATCGCTTTTGCCATCGTTGAAGGTGAAACATTGGAAGCCTGAGACTATTTCCTTGTTAATATTCGTGCTCATGTTACTAAGATGTCAAACACATGTCTCATCTACGATCGTGTTAACGAATGGTATTGAATAATCACATAAATACAAAACGCCAAAAATTGCATACCTGGATATGTCGCATCCAGGCAACATGTATAGAACGAATAAGTCTCTAATATACGATAAATCCTAACATGTTCGTAAGGTAGCACTGTAATTTAAACGTATACATAGCAGGTACTACGAACTTACTTAAGTTGGCAGAGCTTCGCTACGAAATTTTCGCGTTCGGTTGAGAGCACAATCCGTGGTTAGAGAGAGGTAAGAGTAAGAGTGAGAAGTGAAATGATAAAAATTAGGGTATTTATAGAGCTCAAGTGTGACGCCCCCATGTGATGCCCCATTGAGGCGTCTCCCCTTAGGGTATGACGCCTGAAAGCATGTGACGCCGAAAAAGGACATCATATAGTGCAATAAATGTACAATTTTTTTGAAAAATGTAACAAATGCATAAATAATTTATTAAAAACAATAAATAAATTTGTTTGGCCAGCAACTCATACATTTGATATTTTATTTCTATCCCTCTAAAGTGTGAACCTTATCACAAAATCTCGAATGAACAGATATTAGTGTTCGTATCTCCGTATTCCTACCCCACTTCAAAACAACGATAATAATATTTAATAACAGCACGGGAATTTTTTAAAGTGATCGGTACCACTATTTTTGGGTGGTCCCCTTTTCTATTTTTGGTAAAAGGTGTTTCCCTCCCAATTTCTTACTTCTTTACAAATTCTCCTCCGCTCCCTTGTCCTTTATTATTTTTGAAAGAGACCATGTGCACAGGGACCACTAAAACAAACCTCCGAGGTCTGCAGCATGCTTTCTAAATTCGCGAGGTTTGCATCTTGCTTTCTAAATTCATACTCTCTCCATTACTGTAAACACAACAGGCAAACAAAAACCTTTACAAGGACAGACGAGTTAGCTTAAATTATATATTCCTTTTATTATGTTCAGCAGATTTTTAAACTTGCAGAACCGTGTTTGACATATTCTTCCTTTTGAAAAGATATAAAAACCTCGCAAAACGCCAAAATGTTACCTTCGATTTGGATTATTTACACTCCTGTAGCGAAACTAGATTAAAATCTTCTCTTTCATATTCGTAAAGCAAAATTTGTAATAGCATTACTCGTTCAGGATCGAAAAGTTGTTATTTTGCATTATTGTATACTACTTTTATAGCATCATTTAAGAAGAATGAATTTGAAACTTGCCATTATAGAAATAGAAATTTTTATTGAATTCAGAGATTCAATTTTATTTGAATCACAGTAATGTGATAAAAGCAGCTACGTAGCCTCCTTAATAATCACTTGCAGCTGAGAAGCGGGGACCCACACAAGCACTTATTGTGAAAATACGAATACGCATCGAACCTTTGCAATCTCCCACCCTGCGGTATTTCGCCACACAATCGATTATAGCTCACGTTAAACGCCTGCAAAAAATCCACTGCGGTCAATTCCACGGGAATGCTCCCGTATATCTTATTGTGATTCAGATCCAACGATATCAAGCTCGTGGGGAACTCCACTTTGGATAGATTAAACGCCAACAAGTTCCTCGAAACGTCAATCATCTGCGTCGTTTTGTTGAGCCCGAAAAGCATCGAGGCATCGCCTTCCAGCTTGTTCCTCGAAAAATCTATCCTTTGCGGATCCAAGTTGCCCAATGAAGCTGGAATGGGCCCAGAAAGCTGGTTGTGAGATAGGATAATACTTGGGCCGGGCTTCTTGAAGGATCCAAATGAGTCTGGAATTGGGCCTGTGAGCCTGTTCCGATCCAAGCCTAAGGACAACAGGTTAGGCAACTGAGAAAGTGAGCTTGGTATCGGGCCCGAGAGGTTATTAAAAGAAAGGTCAAGGAACTCGAGGTTCTTGAGTTGGCCCAAGAAATCAGGTACTGGGCCAGAGATATTGGTCCAGCTGATGGTGAGAGTCTGGAGTCTGGTGAGCTTGGCAATGGTGGGCTGGATTGGGCCTGTGAGTTTGGGTAGCTTGTGGAATTCGAGGGTCTCAAGGTAAGGGAGGTCACCGACAGAGGGTGGTATTGAACCTGACAAATTAGTGTCTGGGACAGAGGATAACATGATGAGGGAAATGATGCGGTGCGTTTTGCGGTCGCACTTGACGCAATACCAGTGGCAGCAATCCATGTCTGGGTTCCACGAGGCCAGCAAGTAAGGGTTGTTAAGGTCCTTCTTGATTTGTAGCAGCACTTTCTTGTCCTGTGGGTTGCACAGCTCGGAGAATGCAAATGGAGAGAACAAGAGGAACGTGAGGAAGCATAACCCAAACATGGTTCCCATATTTTGGTGGGATCAGCATATGAAACGGCAAGTAGGAGAGTGCTTAAATTTATAGAATACGAAGGGAAACATGCTGCATGACATGTTGCAAGAGTGCTAGATAACCGAATATCCAGATGGGATAATATGATATTATGATGTGAGTAGTGACGATAGCACAGCTCATTCATATATTATTATCTTATATGCTATTTCAGATCTAAATTTTTGTCACAAACGACTTAGATTTCTAACATGGTATGAGTGGAAGAGTTCAGATTTTTATTAAATATGTTATACTATGTTCAATTATAGAATTTATGCCTGTAGAAAAAATATCCATATGAGAAACCTTTATTTTTGACGTCTAATTGTGTTGTAAAAATTAATTTCTTAATTACCAAATAATTCTAAAAATGTTGCTTGCACATAATGCGCAAACACCAATTACACAGGATCTAATACTTGAATGTGAAGGGAAAATAAGTTAAGAAAAATAAGATAAAAATGAATAATAACGAGAAAAACCTTGAGGATTTCTTTTTTTTTTTTTTTAAATTCCTCGTTCTATTATGATCATGAGCGGAATTGGTCAAAAAAGAACAAAGGGCTTCAACTTGATACAAATCCGTGTGCTACTATATATCCTATATCTTACCTGTCTCGCAATGAATAAAAAAAAAACGCCTCAGCTATTGGATTTGGCATGGCGTTGGACGACGCAGCCGCGGCCCGCAAATAAAATTGAAAAGATATCAAAAGTGTTGAATTGAACAGAGAAAAATGTCAATGCTTTGTCCATCACTCAAGCACTAAACAAACCCCTCCCCAAGCAATAATTAAGGTGGGAGGTGGGACATTTTCCATGACCTTTTTTAAAAGTTTCCATCTCAAAAGTATTCGAGATCTAATACAAAGTAGGTCAGCAAGTAGACCTTTTCGAACTCATGACAAAACAATTTAACATATATGTAAAGAACCTTGGGATACACCACCCCAAAAACTAGCTCAAGGGGTGAGAGTGTTCAAGGCTTTATAAAGGCTATATTAGTTGCCCATCCAATCAATGTGAGACTATATATCTCAACACGCCCCCTCACGCAAGAGCCTTTTAGGCTAGAAGCGTGGAAATTGCACAGGCTCATTTTTGGTTTACCTTTTTTGTGCTTTTTTTTTATTTTATTTTAATTCCACTTTTAAAGCGGGGGATGGTGAGGCTCTGATACCATGTAAAGAACCTTGGGATACACCACCCCAAAAGCTAGCTCAAAGGGTGAGAGTGTTTAAGGCCTTATAAAGGCTATATTAGTTGCCCATCCAATCAATGTGGGACTATATATCTCAACATAGTACGTATTTTCCTCCTTTTATAGGCATTTCTTCAGAGGTATACTACAAAACAAATTAACAACACTACATGTGCATGAGTTACATGAAAAAAAAAAAAAAAAACTTTGAGTTGGTGGGAATTTCATCTGCAATATTATGATCAAACCTACAACTCATATACTGTTAATCATTTTAACTTACTGGAAGGAGGTGAAATTATTAGCCAAAACTCGATTAAATTTTAGATTCATTTCTGACTTCCTTTATTGAAGCTTCTGCGCGGATTTTGGCTGATATATGGATTCCCCCCTCCCCCCTTTTCATAGCTGATATATCGATGTTTTATTACCCTTATTAGTTTTAAGTTATTGATCCGTACTTTTCTCACGAGTCTATATGTATTTTAGATTCGATTTATTTATTTTCATCTTCAACTGTTTATATTACTAAATTTGTAATAAAAAAATTCCTATATCTTCAACAAAAAGAAACTATTGAGTTGGTAAAAAAAAGTATTGTTTATTAATCCAAGAGACTCTCAACAGAAATGAATAAATGATTTCATCATGAAAATTCATACTGTAAGTTTTTTTTTTTTTTTTTTTTGTGAATTTACATACTGTAAGTTTTACGTTCTTCAAGTGGATTCATCTTCAATGTCTACATTACGCGTTGTTGGCATCTTCAGAAGTCTTATATATATATATATATATATATATTAAAACAAAAAGAAAATAAAATATTATTAATGATGTCTGTATTTCAAACCAACTTGGAGTTCAAACGAGTACGTCAGTCAACTATGTATTGCGAGATTCAATTAATATTTTCCTCCAAAGGGTCAATTTATCCGGGGAAGTGAATTATAGATGCCAAATCTTGAGTCTAGACAGCTTCGATTTGATATTAAAAAAATAGTTGATTATTACGCTTTTTTTTATGGATTATATCAAAAGATAAACAAGCTTTCTCCGCACACAAAGTGGAGATGAGTCCCACATTTATTTTTCTCTCTTCTCTTATCTATGAGTCACACTTATAATTTTATTTCTATAACATGATATAACCCTTTTTTATTATCTAAAAAAGCTAAAATATTTGAAGCGGTTATTCTTATTACTATTTTATTATTACTCTTACTAATCAACTATTAAAAATGAAAAAAAATTAATTGCTATTGATTTAAAATTGATTCAACGATAACCAATCCAATCATAAAGTTAAAAATGATAGTAAATATAATCTTTCCCATGTTTAAATTATTTTGATTTATTTACAACTTTAAGTAAAAAATTAAACTCAATGGATTTAGTTCAATTATTAACGGAAGCTCAAAAGGTGGGGAGAAAATTTTATTCAATTCCCATTAAATATATTTTTGAATAGCCGATTGAAACACTAACAAATTTTACCGGAATAAATACGGATGGTATTAAAAAAAAAAAAAAACTACCAAAACTACATACATTGACGGTGAGGTAAAATAATTTAAAGATAAAAACTGTTAAATTTTAACTTTAAAATTTCGGTGTGATGTTTGTCATTTTAAATGACATAAGTTATGTATTTTAGGAGAGAGATAGATACAGAAAAATAGAAATCATGGGAGAGAGAAAGTGAGAGATTTTTTTTAATTTAAAATTTAAATAAAAAAAATTCTGAATCTATCTCTTTCTTAAAATGATATAACTTTATGAGAACTTTTCTCTTAAAATTCATTATGCTTAAACAAAAACTTTGACATTATATATATATCCTATGTCAATAGCTTCTTCCGATAAATAAAAAAGTACACTTCCCACTGTAATGATATACAGATGTTTCTTATTTTCTTTACTTAATTAAATGAGAACTGAAGTTTTCAAACATTGTATTTCTTTATTATTTCACCTAATCTAATCGTTTTAGCAACATCGAATAAAAAATTATATATTCTAAAATTAATGTATTTATTTAATAACAGTTCTATTATAAAATATTACAATATTAATTGACCAGTACATATATAAGTTTTATGTCACACGTTATATTTAATGGGATTTTTAATAATTAATCTCTTAAAATACACAATTTTCTCCACCTAGTGAGAGCCTTAAAAATTGTGTACCAAATGCCATTAGAACCGAATTAATGGTGAGAGGTTTGAATAACTTAGTTAAAACTAAAGGTTCAAGTTTTAATATCATAATTATATTGAAAAAAAAGTTATATATCTAGTCTCCATTATATTAGACACGAAATCACAATCATTACACACTCTATACTTATCTTGTTTGGAAAAATAAAGTTAGAGATATATGTATTAAAATGTGTATTATTTCATTTTATAAGTAGAAAAAGTGATATAAAATCAATAAAATAAAAAATGTTACAATAAAGTAAAGACGTAAAAAATAAAATTCCTGTAAAAGTAGTGAGGTCATAATTAATTAAAAAGTTTAAGTAACCATACATAATTAATTTTACATTAAAATTCCTTTACATTATATAATCACTTGTTGACATGAATAAAATCCAACTTACATATGGTGTCGGTTAGTCACGACTGATTTTATTCATGGAAACATATAGTGAAACAATCTTGTGTCGTAGCCTAAAAAGTTGAACAACCCTTCCCATTAGTCACTGCTGATCTTACCCCGCCGTTAGATTTAGGACCACCGGCTCTATGAAAGTTTTCCCGCTTCTCCACAGCCCATAATATTTGCCATTACACCGCCTAATAATTTCCAAAGTCATTCTTGGCGGCTACTTAAGGAGAAAGAGAAATGTATAGGTAGCGTTGAGAATTCTATCCTAAACTATACATGATAAAATTAGAGGTGACAAAACAGACCATTCCAGTTTGACCCGCTTTCAATTCATCAAAAATGGAGTGAGGCGGGTTGACCCGCCATTTCATGATGGGTTGAAAATTTCAATTCATTCTGTTTTGAGGTGGGTTGGCGGGTCAACCCGCTTAAAAAAAAAAAAATTTATATTTTATTAATTTTTATAATATTACTTATTTTTATTTTACACTCCTCTTAACTTTTTTTAATCTCAAGTCTAAATATAAGTTAATATTTAATCAAATATTTTTTAGGAACTTATTTTTGTCTCAATATGTAGATAACCTATATCATAAATAAAGTTTTTCTTCTTTATTTTTTTTAGTGGAGTACTAAAATAAAATAAAAATTATATTACAAAAGTTTAGTGACATATAAAATACTACCTAATAGTAAAAAAAAAAAAAAAATTGACCCGCGAGCCAACCTGCCACAACTCGTTTTGACCCACAACTAAGCGGGGCGGGTTGAAGCGGGATGGCGGGTTGAAATGTATAACCCAACCCACCCATTTTGGCGATTTGGCCGGTCGGTTTCAATCCACTTTGCCACCTCTTGATAAAAGACAGTTAATTTATTAATTCTCATTGGATTTTATTCATGTCAATTAAAGGGCGTTTGATAGTGTAATTTTTTTTTTTATCCGAGAATCACGATTTTCAGGAATATGATGAAAAAGTGAGTTTTTTTGATAATATTATCAAAAAATTATTTGGTAGGCCAAAATATTTCCAGGACTGTTAGGTTAATTTTGCTGATACTATATTTAGTTATTTTTTTTTCTGAAAAATGAATCCATATTTTTTGATTATCTGGAATTCCTGAAATACCACTTTCTGGATTATATTTTTCGATGGTATTTTATTTTAGAAAATACACGCAAAATGGAATTCCAGGAAATTAATTTTCTCAGGAAATTTTCTCCAATGTGCTACCAAACATGGAATTTTAGAAAATCCATCCTCACTTTCCCATACATCTAAAAATAATCCTCCTACCAAACACTTAGAGCCTGTTTGGATCATCTCTTTTTTTAAGTTTGAAGCTACTTATAAGTTAAAGTTAAAAAAAAAGAGCTTAAAAAAAATTGTTTGGTAATTACATAAAAATTTTAGCTTAAAAGTTACTTAAAAGCACATATTTCAAAAAAATTATCTCTCTCTATCTCTATAGCTCTTCATTTAAAAAAAACATACAATTCAATAAAATCACATAAGAGCTTAAAAAAAGATTCTCTTATGAGCTTTTAACTTTTTATTATTATAAAAAAAGAGCTTTTCAGTATAAAAGTTTTTCTCAAAATTTATTTGACTTAACTTATGCTTATAAGTAGCTTTTAACTAAAAAAAAGATGACTCAAACGAGACTTAGTACAAAGTTGGATTCATGAGAAGATACACCTATAAAATTGATTATTGCTCACGAGTTATTTATTCGAAGTTTTATGATTTATTAATAGAAAAAAGAAACTTAAAAGATTTTGTTCTTTGGTTGTTTACTTCAAGCATTTATTATTGGGAATGGTTATATTTATTAATTTTTTGTTTTATAAATTCTTACAAATTATACTATATTTTCTCGGAAATACACTAGGTTATACTATATACTTCCGGGAATATATAATTGTTAGGTCTTGAAAAGATCGTATTACTATACCGTATGGTATGCGCTCAGAGATACTGTAGAATTAGGTATGTGTTTGGCTTAGAGACAATATCACAATCACTGCGCACATACAATAAGCTTATAGCCAAGACGTGAGTGTGTGCACAGTGTTGGCAGTAATTGTTGATAGGTTAAAAGTATATACCTAGAGTCTTTAGCCTCTTAATTATAAAGGTTACCTCTAGGATTTGTGTTGAACTCCCAGTTGTAATAGGATTCAGCTTTTCATTCTGGTGAGTTAAGGCTTCTATCCTGAGTATCTTTACTCTTTAATATTGTTAGAATAATTGAGAATTTATCCTTTGATGATATCTTAGATAAGTAGTTAGGATATGATAAATATCCATAAAAATAATATAATTTATCAAAATTTATAAAAAAAATTTGTAAACAAGTCTTTCCCTTGTCAACAAGGTCAGGTTTTGAATGTAATAGTTTGCATGTTAAGAATCTCTAAGAAGGCCACTTAAAAAATAGGCGTAGCTCAACAAACTAGGAAAAATTGTGGCCCGTGAAGTTCTTTTGGTCTGCCATTTACTTTGTAGGAGGTATAAGTAAATGTAAAAAAAATTCATGATATTTTTTTCTCCATCATTCTCGATTTTAATTATACATAAGAAAAAAATAATTTCATCCCATTCGTGGTATTTTTTTTCCCATTAATTGAAAAACGTATTTTCACATTTTGAGATAAAAATATCTTAATATAATGAGTTATATATGTGTAATGTTACATAAGAAACACTGTTCCGTCATGACCAAACACCAAAAAAGAGGGAGAAAAAATGAGTTGAGTAAAGAGAAAAGAAAAAATTGTGAACCCCATATGTTTTTGTTTGTGCAGGAAAATAATTTTTATTTTTGTTAATAAGAGGAGAAATATTCTTACTACTAAAATTTTTCACTACTAAGCTTACTAATAGGGGTGTTAACAGGTAACATAAAAGAAAGAGTGATAAAACAAAAAAGTGAGTGGGGACTCACTTTTTTTGTGTGATGCATCAACGTAATAAAAATAAAACCTTAATTAAAATCACTCCAAACAAATTGAATTTATTCAAGAACATTTCGAAGTGTATACTCCACGAATAGAACCAATAGAGGCAAACGCTACCGTGCACAAAAGGAACAAGATTAAACTTAGAACATCATTAAGTTTACTTATTGGGTGAAATGTTGTTTCTAAGTGCAGCTTGGAAGCGGAGATCCACACAAGCACTTGTTATGGAAATAAGAATAAACGTCGAAGTGCTGCAGCCTCCCACCCACCGGAATCTGACCGCACAGCCTATTGTAACTCACGTTCAGGTTCTGCAGATCCAGTGCAGTCAGCCTCTGGGGAAGCTCACCATACACCTTGTTGTGATTCAGATCCAACGACGTCAGGTTCGCCGGGAACTCCACCTTCGACAGATCGAACGACAGCTGGTTCCTCGACAGGTCCATCGACTGCACCGTCTTGTTCGGCCCGAAAAGCACTGACGCATCGCCAGTGAGGTTGTTTCGATACAATTCGAGGAAGGTGAGGTTAAGGTTCCCAAAGGAGAGTGGGATGGAACCGGAGAGGTTGTTGTGGGAGAGTTTGAGGTAGAGATCGTTGGACTTCAAGGACCCCAACGAGGAAGGGATCGAACCGGTTAGGTGGTTGCGGTCCAGGAAGAGTGCGCCGAGGTTGGAGAGTTGTGAGAGTGAACCGGGAATTGAACCGGTGAGGTTGTTGAATGAGAGGTTGAGATATGTGAGGTTTGTGAGGCGGCCCAGAAAGGAGGGAATCGGGCCTGAGATGTTGGTCCAGTCGATGCGGAGGAACGTGAGGTGGGTGAGCTTTGCGATGGTGGGGTGGATTGGGCCCGTGAGCTTTGGGAGCTTGTGCAAATCGAGAGACTCCAGGTATGTGAGTAGGCCCAGGGAGGGTGGAATCTGGGCCGAAAATTTTTCCTGGGCGAAAAGATTGAAGGAGTTGATGCGGTGCGTTTTGGGGTCGCAGGTGAGGGCGACCCAGTTGCAACAGTCGGTGTTTGGATCCCAACGCAATATGTCTGAGTTGTTGAGTTCCTTCTTGATTTGGAGCAGCACTTTCTTGTCGTGTGGGTGGCACAGTTCAGAGATTACAGTGGTGAGCAACATCAGAAGCAGCGATAAGCGAAGCATTGTGGTTGTCATTTTTGGTATGAGATGATATGAGATTAGATAAGAATAGAATTGCTAATTTATACAGTCACCGACAGGTAAGATGACTTCCATGATTAGTTCACATTTATTCATGCGCCGGCGGCTACTGTAATGCATATTTAACCGAAGTCAAACACCGGAAAATATTGATTTACAAATTTTTAACAATTTGTTTTGCATATATAACGGATACTGTAGTCAGGCATCACATGTCAAATCCGGAAAATTGTAGCTTATAGGAGATAACTTATATTATTTGATCACAATTTATCCTGATCTATATCTAATCCAATAGCTGTTTGCGCCGGCAACTAATTTATATTAACAGTCTGAAGCCTAAACTGCTAAGCACAAGTTGCGTAGTATTAACTCAACTATGTGCGCTTCGTAATTACATTTGCTAATAACATATAACACATGCATATATCCTTAACTTATCTCCGCATAACATTTTAAAATATGTTTGCCCTTCGATTGCATTTAATACAACTGAGTTTGTAGCTTCGCAAGTTAGGTTCTTCCTTAGAACATCTAGGCAAACATCCACCTTTTTTTTTTTCCAAATGTTTACACCTCCTGCTTTTTGTTTTTTTCTATTCTTTTCTTTAAAAAAAAAAGAACAAAACAAAACTTCTGCTGATATTTAAAGTCAGTTTTTATCCTTATTGTATAACACAAAAATATTCATGATTTGCGGGGTCTCTCTCTTTGTAGAGCTCGTTTTATATGGATCGGGATTTCATAGTCCTTATCCTAAAATGGAAAACAAAATGAACGGAGAATGAATTTGTGAAGAAGAGAGGGATTTAAGTGGAAGAAATTTTTTCCGTTTTGAGAAAAAAGTGCACCTAAAAAGTTGTGGGCGGGGTCTATAATAAAAAAATCTCTCGAGCTCATTTTATATGGATCGGGACTTCAAAGTCCCTATTCTAAAATGGAAAACAAAATAGACGAAGGGAGAATTTGTGAAGAAGAGAAGGATTTAAGTGGAAATTTTTTTTTCCGTTTTGGGAAAAGGTGCATCTAAAAAGTTGTGGGCCGAGTCTATAATAAAAAAATCTCTCGAGCTCATTTTATATGGACCGGGACTTCAAAGTCCCTATCATAAAATGGAAAACAAAATGGACGGAGAGGGAATTTGTGAAGAAGAGAGGGATTTAAGTGGAAGAAATTTATAAAGCTTAAGCATATATGTGGTAGTCTAACTGAAAAAAAAAAAAAAAAACTTTCTTAAATAGCAGAATGTACAATGCTCTCCTCAGTCCTAACTTACTACATGCCGCATGCTAAAAGAAGAATTATTTAACCTGTTTCAATTAGGGATTTTCCTAACTGAGTGTATAAAGGATATTTCGCAGAAAAATAAAGTATAAAAGATATGAGTAATAATGTATTTGCTAACCAAAAATTTTACATAGTTTTTTACATAATAAACATCTAGCTAAAAAAGGATAAAAATTGGGATTTAGATGAAATAAAGATAAAAATATTAATTTTAAATGAAAAAAATTTCTTTTATAAAATAGAGAATACCGAATTCAGTATTCCCATGATACCAAAGAAAAATTCCAAAGAAAGTTTTTCCTTTCTCCATTTCCCAAGCACCATTCATCATAACCCATATGATTTGCGATTACGCTGCTAATTAATATTAGAGAAAAGTTCACCAATGTCCCTGTGGTTTGCTTCAGAATCACCTATGTCTCTGTGATTTTTTTTCTATCACATATGCCTCTGTGCTTTGTAAAAAATAAAAAACTATAGGGACATATGTGAAAACATATCCTTTTGCAAACCACATGGACATATGTGATAAAAAAAAACCACAAAAACATAGGTGATTCAGAAGCAAACCACAGGAGCATTGATGAACTTTTTCCTTAATATTAATTATTTCCAAAGTCATTCATGGCGGCTATTTAAGGAGAAGGGAAATTGTATCTGCAGGATTGAGAAATCTATTCCAAACTATACATGATAGAGGAGACTAGGATAGCTAATTTATTAATTATCGATGGAATTTAGTTAAGTAAATTAGAACTATTGGGGTCAGGTTTTGGATCTAATAATTTACATATTAGGATTCTCTAAAAAGGCCAATCAAAAAACAGGCTTTGTTCAACGCAAACTTTATAGAAAAAAGTGTTGCCTGTGCAGTTCTTGGCTGGCTTTTGCTTTAGGTATAAGGAGGAAGTTGAACTGAATTGGTTACAGGCATATTCAGAAAATTTTATTTATATCTCCACACTTAGTAATGAAAGTGTTTCCCTCGGAAAAAACTTTAAAGAAAATTTTAAATCTATTAAAAAATAAAAGAATATAAACAGTAAAAGAAAAAAAAAAACTTCAACTTAACATAAAAAAGTATTATTAATTTTTTTTAAAAACTACATGTATTTTTAAATTTTTGTATAAAAAAGTAAGAAAAAAAGCTAAAAGAAATATAATAAAATAAATAAGGCTTTAATATTTTTTTCGGTAAACACACATTTATTTATGGCTTTAATATTTCAACAGTGAATGTAGATAAGTTATCTACATTCGCTCTCAAAACGATGTCGTTTTGAGTTAAAAAATTATAATAAAAAAGACTATTTTAATCCTGAAATATATTATAATTACAAAAATACCTTGATTTCCGCCTCAAAATGACGTCATTTTGGACTCAATGTAGATAAGTTATATACATTGACCGTAGAAAAAGCTAACCCTTTATATATATATATATATATATATATATATATATATATATATATAGGGAAAGGAACCGTTTACAATTTTTTTTTATAAATTACTCTAAATATGACCGGTCATACACTCTTGATTGAACTATGACCGGTCATACTTAGTATAGTTTGTAAACAAAAAGTTTGTAAATATAACCTTATATATATATATATATATATATATATATATATATATATATATATATAGGAAGGTTATATTTATAATTTTTTTACAAACTCTTATAAACTACACTATATCTGACTGGTCATACACTAATCAAGAGTGTATGACCCGTCATACTTAGTGTAATTTGTAAAAAAATTTATAAACAGATCTTTTCCTATATATATATATAATATATATAGGGGAGATGATTCACTTATCACCAAAAAAGTTTACAACTTTTACAACTAATTTAATCATCGTTGATTTTCGTCAATCTAACGATTATAATTTATTGAGAATTAATAAATGTGACACAATAAATGTTATTAATTTATAACCTTTAGATTGACGAAAATCAACGGTGATTAAATTGATTGTAAGAGTTGTAAACTTTTGTTATGGTAAGTGGATTCGTTCCCTATATATATATATATATATATATATATATATATATATATATAAATAAAAGAGATAAAGTTATCTTTTAGGAGAAATATTAAGACCATAAAGTAAACGCAAAAGTCCAGTTTCGTATCATTGAGATATTCTAAGTTTCTGGCCATCTGAAATGGCTAAGCTCATTTCTCTTCTCGGCCCGATGGGTACTCTTAAATCTGAGGCCCGATAAGATAAGATGACCCATAAACCCCACCACCACCACCTATGACCTAACATGCAGAAGTGTAAAAAAGTTTCAATCACTTCCAGTTCGCTTCTTATTTCTCACCCACGACTGCATGGTCTTCTTCAACACACCTGTTAAACTTTTTTTTTACCAAAAATTTCTGTCTGAACATGCATACAGTTGTGTGGGTCAACTGACCGGGTCGATCGAATTTTTCAATATTGCTTTTAAATTTAAGAAAATATTAAAATACATATTTAGAAGATTGAATATGAGTAAGCTTTGCTTAATAAAAGGAATATGATATGTTAAGGGGTGTTTGGCAGAGGAGATATTTTTTTTAACCAGATAAATGTAATAACCAGAAATATGATAAGAAAGATAGGAAGGTGAGTTTGGTAGGAAAGTTAACAAAAAAATTGTTTGGTTGAACAAAATTTTACCAGAAAAATTGGATTAAATAAGTCATATTTTTGGTTCACCTTTTGTGAATCTTTCTCCATTTCCCTAGTTTTCTTGAAGAGTTCATGTTTTCTTATGTTTCGTGAAAACATGAGAGAACAAAAGTAGAGATAAATTAAATTTGGGTTTCATATTTTATATTATAAAAGAAAAGAAAAACTAATTGGCACGGAAAAAGAATTTGTGTAGGAAAATTTTTTGCTCTCCTATTGTATGAGAGTATGATTTCCCTTTTTTGAAATACCACCTCACAAATGGTAAACCTCAAGAGTGAATTCTCTCCCTTTTTGCATGCAATTCACAAAGGATGGAGAAAACAGATTGGTAGGTAAATTTTTGTATGTTTTCTACCAAACGTTGGCAACATGGAATGCTAATATCAGATTGATGGGGATCCAAAAATAAAATCTCAACAAAAAATAAAACTCTCAATTTGACATCTCGTCTGAGAGTTTTATTTGACATCTCGTATGAGAGCCGTTAAATAAAAAAAGATCAACGACTCTTATTTATAAGCATGTGACACCATTGATTTATATACACACACACACACACATATATATATATATATATATATATATATATATATATATATATAGGGGCAGGATCCTTTGACACCGGTGTCAAATTTGAAGTTTGACACCCCATCTGAGAGCCGTTAGATCAAAAAAGATCAACGACTCTGATTTGTAAGCATGTGACACCATTGATCTTTTTTGATCTAACGACTCTCAGATGAGGTGTTAAACTTCAAATTTGACACCGTTGTCAAAGGATCCTACCTCATTTATATATAGGAAAAAATGAAAATTAAGTGACTGGACGGTCCAGTGCACTATGTTCTCCCGCGAGAACATAGTGCAAAAATATTACAATGGTGTTCTCCCGGGAGAACATAGTTATAATTTTACTATAACTGTGTTCTCGCGGGAGAACATAGTACACTGGATCGATTTTTACATCCAGTCACTGTACACTCACTAAACCCATATATATATATATATATATATATATACACACACACAACATCTCCGTGTTCATTAGTCAATTAATTATTGATTTTACAAGTGGAAGTTAAATTAAAGTGAAATTTTTGCGTATAGTCTGAGTAAGGTTTATCACACTGGTTAATCAACCCTTTATTTTATAAGTGAAACTCATAATTAAATCAAAACTTGTGGCTTTACTCATTATTCACTTTAATATATTATCGGATGTTAAGAAAAATACTGAAATACATATTTAGTTGATTAAATAATGGGAAAAATGTTTATCCTTTTAAATGACACAACTTATATCCTTTCACTCTCACAAAGAGGTGGGACCCACACTTTTATTTTTTTTGTCAACTCTCTCTCTTCCTTTATCTATCTCTTTCTCTCTCTTAAAATGACACAACTTTACATCCTTTAAAATGACACACACTTTACCCTTAAATAATAGTAGGCTTTTGAAATAATTTATTCGTTTTTGTGTATAGACACTAATGTCTACTAGAAAATATAGTTATTGGATAACATGTATCCTTGTTGTTTTCAATTATATTATTAATTCACCATTCACTACAAAAATTCAAGCATTTTGTGGGGGTCATATTTTCATATTGTGGGGGTCTTTGACCGCCACAAAGTACATTTGTGGCATCCTCAACGACCTCCAGTTTTACCTACGCCACAGTTTTTGGAGGTTTAAAACCCCCACAAATTTGTTGAAAATTTAAAAAAAATTATTTAAATTTTACGTTTCTTTTAAAAAACCAGGTAGATTCAAAAGGATAAAAAAAATTCATTTCAAATATTTGAATACATATTTAAATAGATCTTGGTTTTCAAAGATAAAAAAAATCAAAGAGATGTATAAATGAAATTAAAAACTAAAAGTTATTAAAAATTGATAACTATAATGCAGGCCAAAATTTGGAAGTTATCCTGTTTTACAAGTAGCCTCATATTCTTGTAACTATAAAGATGGACAAAGACAAATATTTGATAAGATCCTTAACGATCATAGAATATTCTTTGATAACTTTTTTCAGAAGCTTGTCATGATCTGAGGCTAAAATCTTGAGGGATGCATCCCAGCAGATGCAAGTATTTTACAAGCATGTTAAAATACTGAAAAGAAATTCTAATCCTAACTTTTTAACAAGGTTAGCGCATATGGCATAAATGTCCCATGACAAGTGTTAAAAATTGATAACCAAGTGGAGCTGAACAAGTTTCCTGCGAGATTGGTTTGCCATTTCATTCACATCCTGAAAGACCAACGCTAAAGCAACAATGGGGAACTTGGACTTCCCATGAGCCCAGAAACGAGGACTCCCTTCATTGCCTCTAAAGTTAAACCATTCTGGAATCTCAGTTTGGGGCATCACAACTTCTAAGCCACGTATCTCTTTTGGCACCTATCATATCACAAAAACCATTTTTGTTAATAAAATAAGAGAAATACACATCATAACATACTCTCTCTAAGGTGTAAAGAAATAGTGTGCAAATGTTGTTTTTCTAAGATAAAGGTATAAGATTTTAGCACAAGCAATAAAGTGGTGATACCTGAGACCATAACATGGTTGACGTCTCTCTAGTTAAGGAGCAGCAGTATCTTGCATCTACTAAATTGGCCTTTCAAGAAAGAAGAAGAAAAGGACTTACGAAGCATTTTGTTAAAATATTTGACACAGTACATGAGAAGACCAATAAAACAAGATCAGATAATGAACAAAAATTGAAAATATGGCCTTTCATCATAATTTTTCCACATCATGTAGTAATAATTTCAAGGACCTGTTAGTTTATTCTAAGTGTTAGTTTAGTCCAGTTCTGCTTAATTTTACCTAATTTCTAAGTTGCAGGGTTGCCTTGCTAGTTTGATAGACAATGACAAAGAATTGTAATTGGTCTAAAAGGCTGAGAATGTTACATCAACACAATCAGCCAAAATTGTTCATAAGTTGTTAACCAAAAGTGATATATCCAAACACAGCTGGTTAAGTCTATTGTATCTGGGATTAAATCTCACCATTACTAGGGAGGAGAGGGTCATCAGCTCCCATTATGCAACATTGACAAAAAAAAAAAATACCAACAATGTGTAATATATATCCTACGTGTAATAGAGTTAGAGTAATGAAGAAACTTCCTATGGGTAACTAATAATTTACATTTAATAGAAATCTAACATAACTTCTTAATCCAACATTCTTTCTTACATATTATCATAAACTAATATAAAGAACAATCACTACTAGGTTGCTAATATAACATTAATTTTGCGTTAATGGGTGCAAATGGATAAGGCATATAGATAGTACTGACATAGATTAAGATACCTTGGAGGATTTTAGACATCATGGTCATTTTGAGAAGGATCAGAAGGTGCAGTTTGATGAGGCACAACAGTAATTTGTAGAGTGGCACTGGAGGAGGAGCTTTGAGTTTGGGAACCCTGGATTTTTCAGTGTCACAATAGATATCCAACTCAGCAGCCCACAACTGGTTGATCAACTAACTATTCATTAGTGTCATCCATTTTTAAAATATATATATATATATATATATATATATATATATATATATATATATCAAAGATTAGTGTCTTTTCATGAGTGGATGGAATTTCCGAGAGTTCAGTTCTCAGAATTTTCAACTTTGCAGATTTTCATTGTGATGAGTAGACTTGGAAACAACCTTATAACATGGAAATGACAGCTACATGGACAAGTATGGAATTTCAAAATAATGTACGACAAAAGTTTCATATACAAAAATTTGAGATGACAAAAAACTGTAGTGACTTAAACCCATACATTAATCATATATGCCACAGTCCATAAGTTAAATTGCTAAACCAGATTTCCTAACATGTATACACTTACTTTTTTTTTACTTTTCTGATATGAACATTGCTAAACCACAGTCCTTGGCTAGCAGAGTTTTTCCAGTTCCCGGTGGTCCTGTCAAGAGAATCCCCTGGAAAAAAATGTTCAAGGCTCACTTGATGATAAAAAAAAATCCTTAATTTCCAATGCACATCAAAAAGCATGGCATTTTATAATTAGACAAGCAAGTTCATCGGCATAGCAGCAGGAAATGAAAGCAACTAAAAAGAATCCATAATATTATGGTGAGCCTGGTGACCAAACGCTAGCATGTTTATTCCTACAAAAATTTTTTGCGTATGGAGATAGTATAAAGAGAATAGATGGCAACTAGTCAAATACAGAAAGAGACAAACACTAGACGAGAGGTTACCGTGATTTTGAAAAGTGCTTTCCATGTTCTCATTGACTAATGTCCCAAGAGAAAACTGATGAGACTGTATGCGGAAAATGTTAATCAAATCATTCCGGGTAGCATCAAACTTCAAATGCATTTCTTATTTAAGTGTCTCATTATGCATTTATTTCTTTAAACTTAAGACTTTAGAACCGTGATTAAAATAAGACTAAGAGATGGCATTTTTACCTTTGCAATTTCAGATTGTATGCAGAAAATGTTATAATTAGCTGGTGTGTGCAGATCTAGTACCCTATTGTTTAATCGTGTATCCTGATTAACACGAACAAGTTGTTCCAAGGCCTGCACCCATTAAAAATCCTGTTACCATGGATGAGAAAAAAGAGAGGGGAAAAATGAACTCTTTTGTTATAGTAACAACTGTTATAGGGAGATCAAAATAACAATACAATTTTTGTTGTTGGAAATACAATACAATTTAAATGCATATATAATCCATACACTTGCAAAGCCTTTTCAATTTCCATTTCACTCCTAGCAGCATCCTCAAGACTAAATACAAGATTTGGGACAGCCCTATTGATACAATACAATTTTTTTTCACTTGAACTTCCACCTACCAAAAAAAAAAAAAACACAATCCAACCACACAATGGCATAATCATAGAGCTTCCGTCAAGTTTAAAAGCTAGAAAATCAAAAACCCTGATCATGCGTGAGTAGACCAAACCAAATTAATCTGCTATGAAGTACCTCTGATAGGTTCGGCTAGTATGGAAACTACACCTTCAATGTCGACAATGGACTCTAGGCTGAGTGTTGTAGTGTACTTCACCATTTGAGGGCTCACTGAATCAGGCTGCGCCTCCACCAAACACTGCTCGGTGAACCCGTGATCCCTTATAACCAAGAAGGAAAACATACTATAGAAATGAACTCGCAAGCCCTAACAAAAAATTCGGGGAAAATGTACGAATAACAAACAAATCACAAAATTAGCAACATGATTAAATGAATTTTAGTTTAGCAAGACCAGAACTGATCGACACATATTGACAGAGATAAATAGAAATTGTCAACATATCAAACAATTGGAATGCAAACATAATCAAAATCAAAATCGAGAAAAATATACTAAATTCATAAACAAAACCTAATCACATTATGGAAATGAAAAAGATGAAAATAAAGGATGAAAATAAACATACCTTCATACAAAATTTAAAAAAAGGAACTACGAGACTGTGTTGCCAGAAGCTTCTCGAATATGTGGCGATCCACGGTTCCTGTGTTGCTGATAACAGTGCTGAACTCTTCCAGCACCACCATACCTTTGGCCCGCGATGAACTTTTCTGAAGATCAGAGAAAATGTTCTCTGGAGATCCTTGTGGCAACGTCCAAAAATTGAAGCGATTTTGCCAAAGTACATCGAATATAGGTTTTGGAGAATGGGAAATATTTAGGGCTATTGCTACCACACTATCCTTAATCGGGGTAATGGGATAACAGAATTAAAAAGACGAAACAGCCTCAAAATATGCAATTTTGGTAGCAAATTTGAGCTTTCTATAAATTTTGCCATGATTACATTTACGGTGGCTTAATCCTCATGCCTGCCATATTTTTTTGTAGTGAATGTTCAAAAAAAATTAAAGTATATATAAAAAAATAAAAAAATTAGAGTATAAATTGTGGGGGTCAAAACCTGCTACAAAATTATAAAAACTAAAAAAAAAAAATGAAAATACAATGTGGCGTTCTTTGAAAATGCCACAATATGCATAATTATTGGGGGTTTTACAAACCTCCACAAAATAACCTCCACTAATAACACATTTTTATGTAGTGATTTAATTTAATGAGATGAGACAATGTTGCAGCATCATACAGTTCTAGTGCTGCTACGATGTCATGTATCGTTTTAGTCCTTAATATTTTGTTTTCTAATAAATGCCCTATATACTAATAAAACAACCCTTGATTTTATAAGTAATTATAAGTCAAATTAAAAGGAAACTTGTCTCTATTCTCATTGATTTTTTAAGGTATGGTCAACTAGCTAGCCCTTGATTTTACAAATGAAACTCATAATTAAACCGAAACATGGCCTTTATTCATTCTTCCATACGTTAAGAAAAATAATAATATTAAAGTACATATTTAGTTGATTAATTAAGAGTAGGTTTTTGAAATAATTTTTTTTATCTTGATATACAAATGTTTATTAGAAAATATAACTTCAAACACATCTCTATTTTATATTATATAATTATTTCATCATTTAATTACATTTAATGAGTTTAAACATAGTTGACCTAACATCTCTTCTTATGCTATTAAGGATGTCACGTATCACTCCTAATAAGATATTTATTTTTTCCAAAAAGTCCTTTACACGAGTCAGTCAGTTCTTAATTTTACGTATAAAAGTCAAATTAAACCGAAACTTCGACCTTTATTAGTTCTTCTGGTGAAGGTTTTATCACACTGGTCAATTAGCCCTTGATTTTGTAAATGAAACTCAAATTAAATCAAAATTTGTGCATGTACTCATTATTAAAACTCATGTTAGTCATGATGGAACTTGGAATTATGAGATTATATCTAATTTTTTTTCTGATGATTGTGTTCAAATTATTAGAAGCATGCTGCCTCCTCATAAATCTAATGGTATGGACAAAAAATGGTGGAATTTAGTTGGATCAGATGAAGTTTATGTGAAAAATATTTATTTTACACTGCTAAATCAAAATAGTTCTAATGGTATTGACAGAAAATTCTGGCCAGCCATTTGGAACTTAAAAGGGCCCAATCGGATAAGTTTGTTCCTTTGGAAAACTGCTCATCATCGTCTATTAACTAGGAGCTTTCTGGCAAACTTTAGATTGTGTCCTCCTAACTGTCCTATTTGTAATTTTTATGAGGAATCCATTATTCATATGGCTCGTGACTGTCCAAAGATTAAAAAAATTTGGTCTAATCTTTTGAGGCCAAATTTGATAAATGGTTTCTTTGATACTGATATAGATTCTTGGCTTTCCTTGAATATTCAAAATGTATCTATTTTGTGCTTTGATGTCCCCTGGTTGTTGGTTTTTGCTGTTACTGTTTGGTTAGATTGGCAATGGAGAAGAAATAATTAGGTGCATGGTGTGGAAAATAACGGGAAAGCATACAAGGTGCAGTCCGTAGAGAGTCTGGTTCGTGAGTATAAACAAGCCTGGATAACTTCTAAGGGGACAAAGCTGACCAAGAATTACATTTCTGTTCCTATTAGATGGTTATCTCCGGACACAGGTTGGGTGAAATTAAACACGGATGGTGCAGCCAGGAGTGATGGCAGGGGGAGCTGCTTGTGGAGGAATTATAAGAGATGAAAATGGTTATTGGATAGAAGGATTTGCTTACTATATTGGCCATTGTTCAGCTTTTGTTGCAGAAATATGGGGCGTCTTCAAGGGTCTTGAATTTGCTTGAGCTAAAGGTTGGAGACGCTGCATCCTAGAAAGTGATTCAAGCTTAGTTATCACTCTGCTCTCCAGCAGTGGAAGAGCAACTCGAGCATCTCGCTTAGTGACTCGGATTCGAGTATGGTTACAAAAGAATTAAGAAGTTCACCTGGTTCATGTTTTTAGAGAAGGAAATAGTTGTGCAGATTGACTTTCTAAATATCCTTTAGACTATCTTGTTGAGAATAATTTTTGTGTTTTTTCAAACCCTCCCCCTGGTATTTGGCCTTTGTATTGGGCTGATTTGTCTTTGTCTTGTAATTTCAGAACGATTTTATTGAGTTGATCTCTTTGGGGTGTTGTTGTTAACCCCCTTAGATTACCAAAAAAAAAAGTCAATATATATATATATATATATATATATATATAAGGAAGGTTATACTTACAGAGATAGGATATTGTGACACCCAAGTTATGTTACACCCATGTGACACCCAGTCAATCTCACCGTTAGATCGCTTATGTTGATCCAACGGTTATATTTATTTCCATCTTTGTATGATCATTATTTCCCAAATTTAATATTTTATATTTATTTCTACCTTTGTATGGTTATGATTTCCCATATTTAATGCTTTCACTTTAAATTTAGGAAATCATGACCATACAAAGATGGAAATAAATATAACCGTTGGATCAACATAAGCGATCTAACGGTGAGATTGACTGGGTGTCACATGGGTGTAACATAACTTGGGTGTCACAATATCCTATCCCATACTTACAACCGTTTTTTTTACAACCATATCTTAACACCGTTGATTTCTGCCAATCAATGGTTATGATTTTTGCAAATTAAACTTATTAATTAATTATTAATTCTCAATAAATGATAATCATTGATTGACGGAAATCAACGGTATTAAGATATGGTTGTAAGAGGTTGTAAAAAAAAAATTATAAGTATAACATTTCTCTCTCTATATAATTGATTAAATATGAATTGGCTTTTAAAATAACTTTTTTTTTATCTCGACATAATGTCTATAGAAAATACAGCTAAACATAATAGAAATAATAAATTTTTTAAGTTAGATTTAGGTGCATAACTTATTTTCATTGTTTACGAAGGCCCAATTTAGGTGAACTTATAAAAATTGTCCTTTTTATTGACATATTTAAAGAGATATTTAATTAAAAAAAAATACTCATGTTTTTAAATGCACTATTTGTTAAGTGCTGTTTTTTTTTTTATGAAATTAATGATTTTTTAATGTTTCATTTTTTTTAAGTTCATCTAGATATATTAACAAATATATATAATTTTTTTTTTCTATCATAAAAATAAGGGACTAACATTTCTTCAATAACATGAGACCTCAAAACGAATGCATGGTAATAAAATTCATTACAAGAGAAAATTAAATTTTTTAAAATATCATAAATTTTTTTATCATAAATTTTAGAATGATATCATTTTGAATTGGAGGAGATAAATTTATCTTCCGGAAAAAATATTTGTCCAAAAAATTATTCAGCACTAAATTGTACATTTACAACAATTCTACTGAAATGTTTAACCTAAAGAAAGTTTGTCTCAAGATATTTTTTCTATCAACCTCCAGCGCTATTTTCCACGTCCTGGTGCATTTGCGCAATTGTCAAATGTTCGTAATAACTGCATTGCAAAGTTAATTGGGTGGTCACTGCCCACAGATGCCTTGATATTAATTCATAAATTCAACAGTGTGCTCTAAACAACAATTCTTGAAACTATAAATTCTGAACTTCAATCCAGTATTCCAAATCTTCTGCAATGACCACTAATCTACTAAAAAAAATTGACCACTATACATAAGAGGAATGCTCAATTTATACAGTATAAAAATAATATTTTATATTTAATCTTAATTATTGATATATTTATATTTAATTTTTTTTAATTTATTCTCAAATACACGCACGTGGATATGCACGGACCCATGTCCACAGATAAATAGGTTGGGTTGAAGAATTTTTTAAATTTTAATAAATTATCAAGAGAGATTAAAATTAACGATTGAGATGAGATATACTTTTTAATGTGATGCCGATATGAAAATAATTCATATATATATTTATATTTATATTTTAATGTATATGATCTAGATTCAAGGTGATGTCAAATCCAATCCAAATCAATTGAACCTACTTACAATTTTTTTTGCTATAAATTTATAAGAAGTTATAAATTTTAGAAACTAATAATTATATAATTTTTATTATTCTAATATAAGATTTTTATACATTTAATCTTTACAAATTTAGATTACAAATCTAATAATAAGTCTACAATGCATGCATCTCCCCTGTGTTTTATTTTTATTTTGGTACTTTTTTTTTTAACTTACAACAATTAAAATTTGATATAGGGAAACATGTCCAATATTTCTGCTCTGAGTTTTCGATAATTATTAGATTTATAGGTTAACAAAACATTAATTAATAGTTCGAATTAAAGTATACCTCCTTTTGAATTATTTTTTCTTCCTGACATGTGAAATTGACTATTTACAACAAACCTAGTAAGAATGGACCACTTAATTTACTCATTCTCAGAGATCAAAAAAATAAAATAAAAAATGATACAATCGAAGATATGAAAAAAGAAAATTGTTGACTAATGTGTGTATGGTTCATCAATATGCCAGTGACTAAACAGTCTACCCATGCAACCCTTAAGGCTAAATGGACCATTGAGTTAAAGACAAGTTAAGCCTATTGTCTTATTTTTTTCTATGTCTCAAAGTAACATAACTTGCAACCAAACAAAGTGAATTTTCTTTTTGTCTTAAACTCTACCTCTCCATTCTCCCTAAAAAATATTGACTTCAAACAATTTCGAAAATTTGCATAAAGAAAGAGAAAGGGAGAGCTATAGTAGTTAAAAGTTTAATTCTATATTAATCATCTGTCTATCTATACAATGGGAAAGAGGGTGGGAGGGAGGGTGGTACCAAAGTAAAGATTACTTTTAATTTATAATTTAAGAAGCTACAACAAAGGCCATAGCTAGCTAGAGATGGATATGGAGATGTGCCACTACCACTCGCTATTCTTGGCGAGGGCGTGCCAACCACAGAGAACTCAGTGCACGCAGACGGTGGAAATACTCGGCAATGGTTAGAAAACACCTTGCTGCTTGACGTATCGTTAGGATCTGATGCAGACGGTGAATGGTTTGGTGCCTCAGATTATCTGCCTGTAAGTTCAAATGTTAATTTAATTTGATTTTCTAATTAATTCTCAGTCATGTCATATATGTGTGTGTTTAAGGGAGGAGGGGTTTAGAAAATCAACCTTTGCATGCAGCTTCAACTGATGAAATAAATGGAACTATTATGATCAAACATAGACAAAAGTGGTTGGAAGGAAAACTATAACGGTGCCTCCTTTTCTCTTTTAAACTTTGAAACAGGAATACTAAATAAAACCTCTACCCACTAATTCAATGCTTGTGACAAGGTTTCCATAGTCAAATTTTGTAACATTTAATCAAAATTTGGGTCCTCTACGTACTCCTCTGTCACTAAAACACTTCATTATGAAAACAGACAGTATACGATTTTTCACGGTGCCGTAAAACACCTTAATTATTATATACATATTAATATATAGATTATGTATTATTTTCAAAGAGGTTGACTAATTGTTCAACTTGGAGACATTAATTTCAAACATTGGATTTCTGAATCCCAAACGGCAACAACAATAATGATCACACTAAACCGTGGACCATTTGTAGGAGTAATTTCAAGTCAGAATTGTGGCTATAAGAAGTCTAGAACAAAACACTACAAATTGGTCAAACCATGACTGGATGAGCTTACAGATGAATTAGGGAAAGGTTTACTTGTAATAAAATTAAAACCTCATTATCATTATGATTAGTATTTTCTACCTAAAGATTCCTTTAGTTTTTTGTTTCCCATTGTTGTGATTTGTTATTGTAACAGATTCAAATTAAGAGGATATGTATTCTTGGATGACTTAAAATTAGCATCTATTCATATGTAGAAATTAATAAAAGTTGGTGAACCAACTTTGATGAGATGAATAGAGCACACACATATATATATAGAGATGGGCGGTGCAGATTGATTGTCATAAATTTCACAAAGAAATTTATGTCATTTTACCAATGCTGTTAATTCAACTAATAAAATTCCAAGATCAAGTCCTATTCTTACTTAGAAAAGAAGGAAATGTCCCATTTCATTCAAAACTCATCTAACACCATATGTTGCATTCTGTGTCACCCTAAGTTCACTTGCAAACCCAAAACATCATATCAGCCTCGAGCATTGGTCTGTTTTTGCTCTTAGAAGTAGTCAAAAAGGAAGTTATGGGGATGGGTCTATATGTTGTGTCTTCAAGTCAAACGGTTACGACCATGACATCACAGAGATATGGGGCTAGAGGGGATATCTTTAAATTAGGATTGCATGTCTCGGTGAGGGACCACCGATCTGTCCTAGTGTCACGTGTATACGACCAATAGCACACGTTAGTAACCTTAGACATTCAATGTTAATGAAATGTTCAATACAATATATCCTCATTTATAAACTTTCAGCACTACAGCAAGGTAACCTTTAAGGTTGTACTTGAGCTGTATGTTCTATTGTTCTTATTATGGTACCTTTGCAATGCTTTTAATGCGTATGAGTACGTACTAAACTTTATCCAATCCTTTTTTATATATTGTACAGACTACAAGCTAATATATATTTGTGTGTTTAATCCTAACAAGTTCTAAAAGGGGGAAATAATTTTTCTACCACTTTTATGCTTTACTACACATACCCCGTCAATTTGGTTGCATGTAACTTCCCTAATATATTAAGGTGCATGTCTGGTATATATATAATGTATCCAAGTACCTGTACCAGACAGAGTCGAAAGGAACTAGAGTCCTTTTCGAGATATAAACATTGGCCCCCCCAACGTACGTCGAAATGAGATGCAGATATTTATAATGTGTTTGTAGATTCCACATAACCACCTCAAAGTGAGAGAGACATGCATAGAAGGAGTTGTTCATGGGGTTGGGGCAGGTCTCCCTACCCGAAGAGCAACAGATTCTTTTTCCTACCTGACCCCACGAGATCCGTTATGGAAACTTATATCATGCCATGTGGGACCACACAACTAATCAACCAAGACAACACGGTCACGAAACTCCCTCACCAAATCACAAATTTTATATTATTTTCTCTATATAATAATTCTTTTTTACATATTTTAATACCGACCCTTTTTAAATTTCCTTAGTAAAAAAAAAAAAAGTTAAGTGTAAAATATTTATATCATTTTTTATACTTATATATATATATATATATATATATATATATATATTACGCTTATTACGAACTCATTTTAAAATTTAGGAGAAACGTGTTAATGTGAATGAAATGTAAGCTACCTGTCTCACGAAACCTTCAAGAGTGGAGAGCTTGTTCATGGCCATTGCCATATGTCCCATGTAGTTAGCCACATTGAGAGGATAGCTCAAAGAGTCTGCTGTTATAGTGTTTGATAGAGATTGATTGAGAGCCTCAAGCCCTTGGGAGAGAGCCTCTTCTGCCTCTTGCGTAGATTGTTGCAATCCACATATACCCAGTATTTGTTGCTCAGTCAGAGGCTCAATTTGACCCAGAATAATCTAAAAATACTTACACTAATTAAATTAATATAAACATATATTTCAACTGAAAATAAAATATATAGCATGCCTAGATATCATAAAAATTAAGTTCTTGTATGTATTTAGATGTACTATAATGATGCATATGCATGAATATAAAATCACAAAATTTTATGGTTGTGAGTGTTTGTTTATTGATTAACTACAGTACAAAGAAGAAAATGAGAGATTGAAACCCTGCCACTCTCTTTCTCTCTACTTAATTTCTTAATCGATCTCTAGTTCCAGCCAGAAATTGGAGTTAAAGTCATGGCTTCATGGGAATGAAGCCTAACTCTACCCATTACCGGAAACTTTCTCGATTCCTTTCGTCATTCATGTATGACATTAAATTCATAGCCCTCATCAGTTTTTCTTTGCTAGACCCACCGACAAGACTGAGTTCATACATTTATAAGATCAATTACTTCTCATGAATACCACATATAACGCACCCCAATTTCCTGCCCCCTCTCCGAGAATGTAAGTTATCAAAAAAAATAAAAAAAAAGAACCCATGTATATATATAATTTTTTTTGATATCAAAAGAACCCATATTTTAACTATATAATATTGAAAGAAAAGGAGGACATTTTGAAAATGGTAGTTAACATAGAACTCCATATTTTTTGTCATGTAGTTGTCATTAATGTTGTCATAACTGGGATTTGTGGATAGTATTTCTGAGCCAGGTTGGGTTACAATAGTTGTACTTACCTTAATGAGTTCAGATGGCTTGAATCCACCAATCCACATGAAGCAACGTTCAGCTGGGGTCTTCCACATGCCAGAAACAAGATGGAATACATCTGTTTTGGCCACTAAGCTCTTGAGGTTCATTACATGGTCATAATGTGCCAAATAATTATCAACAAATAGTCTAAGCTCATTCTCAGGAAGGTGCTCTTGAACTGCAGCTCTTAGCTCACACACTAGGCGATGATGCTCCTCTAGCCATCTGGCATATTCTACGTCAAATATAGCAGCATCTGAAATTTATACCCAAATTTATAAATCATATTGAAAAATCCAAGAGGACAAATAATCATGTACATAGAGACAATTGTTTTATAAGAGACCTGGGCTAATACTATTCATAGCCACAGGAAGTCCTTGCTCTCCTCCCATTCCCAAAAGTGCACCTCCTCCGCCTAAGAACATGCCCTAAAATAAAAAACTAGCGTTGTTTGAACTCAAAACTTTACCAATATCATGCACATTTATAGCATTGTGGATCCCCAAAAAGAAGACTTTTTTGTTTTTTTTTTCCTTCCTTACCTGAGATCTAGCACGTTGCAGCTCTTGTTCCAGTTGATTAAGCCTAATCCTACTTGACTCTAGCTGCTGAACATATGCCTGAGAAAGAGAATGAAAAAAAGAGGACAAATAGAACGGTACATTTCTCACAAGTACTAAGAGACCTTTGACAAGTCTTACCGAAAAAGTGTAAAACAACAAAGTTGAAATAAAATTATAATCACTTACCTTTTTCCTAAGCCTGCTTTTCCTAGCTGCCTCCCTATTCTGAGCAAGTCTTCTGAGAGTCTGTGCATAACGTTTTTAAAGCACATATTATAATTGAATATCACTGCAATTTTTTTTTTTTTTTTTAAAAAAGCAGATAGTTTGATAAAGAAGGATATAGAAGCAAGAAAAAATGTAGGAGTTAACCTTAGGATCTGGTGTTTTAGGTCCTTCATGTTCAGAACTTGACGTTGGACCCTTGCGATTGGTCTCTCGCTGTAATAGTAAACGCACAGCGTAGATGATTAGTTAGATAAAATTAAGAAAATAATAATAACTTAAGCTCAGAACCTCATGCTTACCAAACTTTGATTCTTGTTCTATTCATTTATAATTAAATTTATTTTTTATATATATATATAAATGGTGTTTTGTACCTTGATAGCTTTGGGTGGTTCAGGGACAGAGGTTTCGTTTTGTGGGTTGGCCAACTCCATCGAAGGCTTTGACGGTCTTTTAGATCCACTTGTTTGCGGAGAAACTAACTCTACGCTAGCCTATAAATTAAAATCAAATATAAGTAATTATTTACTATTATTAATATTGATGAAACTCATTAATTAACCGCAGCTAGCTATGCAGTACGGAATAATAACAAAAAAGAGAGAGTGTGGTATGGTATTATGGTATCTAATATACAATTGACAGTGAGATAATTATATCACCTTGGAATTGGATGATGATGGCTCTACGTGCATAGGCTGAGACGGGAAAATGTTGAGAGTTGGAGGCCTCATTCCTGATGATGATGAGTTATCTGCTGAGACTCATACATGCACCAAATTTAGCACCATCAATTATGTTGTAAATATATCTAAGCAAATCGTGTATATGTTTATAGCATGCAAAAGGGAAAGAGGGTTTGTTTTTTCAAAGGCCAGAATGATTACTATAGGAGTCAAAGGAGAAAATAAGAGAGACAAAGCAAGAGAGGTGTGAGTGTAAGGGAAAGAAAGCTGGTCTGGTCTGGGAATGAATTATCATGCATTTGTAGCTCTGTCATCCAAACAGAAAAAGAAGGAAAAAGTATAGAAAGTAAAGGCAAAGAAGGAACCCGAACCCATACCCTATTAGTTCCCTTTTCAGTACATGTGGTATTTTGAAGGAGATCATGACACCCGGTTTGTTACATGTCATGGTCTCACAGCTCCAACCAATAAAACAAGAAACTAATAAAATAAAAACAGAGAGAGAAAAAGAGAGGAGCAATTTTTATTTTTATTTTTTTTTTAACTTCTCTGCAAGGATCTGGTCAACAAGAGTACTATGGTGCAGATATGATCTTCTGAACATACTTTTGGTGTGACCCAAAGAGAATCTCCCAAACAAAAGACAAGTGAGAGGAAAGGTGTTTCTCTTTTTTGAATTTGAAGGAGAAGGTTATTGGAATTTGGAAACAAAAAAAAGAAGAAATAATCTTAACGTGTTTGTTTGTGTGCAAGTGTTGGGAGTTTGGGGGAGAAAAGCTCACGTCTTTGTTCTTGAACGCTTGAAGGGTCTGCTTGTCCATCGAGATAGAGAAAAAGAGCTTGATCCAATTCACCTAAATCATAAGCTCCGGAATCTTTGTTTCTGCTGACATAAACACATGTATAATTATAAATAAAAAAAAACAACAACAAAGGTAAAAGAGTAAAAGACAAATGGTTCATCTCATCATCACAAACTGGGTGAGAGTGACTAAGACTAAGAGATTTTTGAAAAGTACACTTGGGACTCCTATTATATAACTCACAGGTAGTTTCCTGGGATAGAGGACGATGAAGAAGATTGCATCATCCCAAAAGAAATTTGGTTGTCTTGTATTTGATGGTGATGAAAGTGGTGATGATGATGATGACGGTGTTGATGTGGTGGGAGAGGTTCCATTTGAGTGGTTGTTGAGTTGGTGCTCTTAACACTGGAAGCCATAACCAAAGAAGAACCTAAAAGCTTTGTTGTCTCTTGCTCTTGTTGTTCTCTTAAAGTAGCTCTCGTAAGCCCCATCAATGGTGAAACCGCCTTTTGTTTTTTCCACTTGAAATCATTTCCTTAGTCCACGGGAAAAAGAGAGAGAGAGAGAGAGAGGGGAAGGGTCGGTTATAATGGAATAGCTAGTAGAGAGTAATAAGAGAGAGAAAGAGAGAAAATAGAATTGAATGCAACCAAACAAAAGACAAGACTTCTTTTTCTATTACATCTCTCTCTCTTTTTCTCTCTCATCTCTATGAGAAGTTGATGACTTTCTGCAAACTTAAAAACTTTTTTTCAGATAAACCGGGTCCTCTCAGGACATCCTCTTCAACACACTCTCTCTCTCTCTCTAGAAGGGCAAGAAGGAACTTTTCTTTATTTTTATTTTTTTTGGAGATACCAATTTTGAATTGAAAGATGAGATGTAACGTGGAATAGAAAACCACCTAAAAGGTTCCTTCTGTAGCCCTCTTATTTTATTTTATTTTTTTAGTACATTTTGTAGCCCTCTTATTGTATATAGCTGAAATGACCAAAAAGTCATCCTCTATGTTCAACTTTTATTATTGACAATTTCATGCAAACTTACACGTAGATCCCTCAGGCGGCTTTGTCTGTTGGATAGTACTTACAAGATGTTAGCACACCACAATTTACACAATTTTTTTTAAGCGACATGTAATATTTATAAATTATTTTTTTATAATTACTTTTTTTTTTTTGGTAAATTTTTATAATTACTTTTACTCATGTTGAATCAAAATCATATTAACAATTATAAAATAACGTTAAATAAGAGTTAATTTTGATTTTAATCCAACAATAATAAAAATAGACATTGTAAGAGAAAATATTTGTAAATATAATCTATTTATATATATATATATATATTAATCAATAATGTATAATTTTTTTATGAAAAAAATTATATTTATAATTTTTTTTTCATTCAATAATCTCTTGTAACTATTTGTTATAGTTGTTGGATTAGAATTAAATCAATGGTTACCAAACATCAAATAAATAGTTACAAACTCAAAGCCGTTGATTTATTTTTAATCAAATGAGTATAAAAGTTGTTGTAAGGGAAAAATGTTATAAATAAAGATTTAATAACCATTGATTTATTTACTTCTTTACTTAGGCACGTCTGTTTCTATACTTTTTTTTTTCTTTCTGTACATCTTCATTTTTTATTGAAAATAAAGATTTATTTTTATATTCTTATCCTCTCTCTCTTTTAGTTGTTTTTTCATAGAAGCCCCATTTCAAATAAAACAAGGCGATTATGATGTTATTTTATATAACTAATAACCATTAATTTATATGTATGGGATTTTTTTATACTTTGAAATCCCTTGTCAACTTGGAGAGGTAACATTCACCCTTAATTATTTCGAAGGAGATATATTAAATTATATTCCTATATGTCTTCTTAACCAAGCCGTTATAGAAATATTTGACAATGATATTCCTTAAGTTTGAAAATGATTTTATTACAAGTTGAATCTTATAAATCGTTGTCAAGAGTGGAGAATATATATATATATATATATATATAGGATTTCTCTTTTCTCATGTCACATGAGATAACATCTCTCATGCTATAGACACAACAAGTGGTAGGTCCCACTACTTGTTAAAAAAATAAAAAAAAGATAGTACGGATTTCGATGTTTCACAACGTGAGAAAGTAATCTCTAATAATATGAGAAAATGATTTTCCATATTTATATATATATATTAACAATTACAGTTATTTGAAGCGAGCTTTCAGACGTAAGTTATCTCTATATGGCGGATGGTTGAAAATACCTCTATAATCTATTTTAGAATTGTCTCAACATGGACAAATTTGACTTTCGGAAAAGAATAAATATATTAAGGAAGATAACGACTAATAAATCCCTGAACACAATTTCAAGTTATGAGATTATAGTGATTCAAATTTATATCTCCACACCGAGAGATTGCGTCCGAGGCCAACTATATAATCCTCGAAGGTGTTTCAAGTGTTGTTGTTAAAATCTCGATTTATCACTATGATTTTATGTTCTTACGATTTTTTTTCTTCAAAACGATTTTACTAATATTCTAAACGTTTTTACGTTTTTATAATTTTTTACGATTTTTTTACATTACGATTTTACGTTTTACAATTTTTTAATTTTCATCCGATTTTATTTAAGATCTCAATATTAACAACATTGATTCCAAGCGAGAAAATGGGTAAAAGCAATTGGGCAGCCCGAAAAGAAAACTACAGAATTTATTTAAAATTTGTTATGGTTCAAAGATAGTTGTTGGATAACCTTCTAAAAAAAAAAAAGATAGTTGTTGGATAAAAAACTGGTAATGATCACTTATTTATACATGAATAGTTAATACTGCTAATTCATTGTGACTACGTACAGTGCAAACAACAATTTATAGTTGTTTAGAATTTTTCAAAACTAATGAGAAATCATATAAAGCATTTCATAAGGTTTTTACTAAAATTGTTTGCAAATTGAGATATTTAATTAAATACGGGAAATCATTGACTTTGCCAATCTTTGCTATGTGAAGGCCATCAAGTTTGTTTATGGGCAAACCAATGTTAATTATTTAAGTATTTATGGTTATTTTAAATACTTTTTTTGTTACATTTGCTAAATGCTAAATTCAATTTCTGTAGCAAAATTATTCAAAAACATATAGATATATATACATACGCCACCAAAGTCAATACCTCTTGAAATTCTTATGCCACGAAACTTGTTTGCCCCAAACATTCTTGAATCTTGTTGAATATGTTGCTGGCAGGACTATAAAACATGTCCAGTGTAAATACTAAATTTTTGTATGCTTTATTAGTAAACGTCACCAATATTATTAAGGGAAATGGCTTTCTGGGGAACACGTGCAACTCATTTGAAGGTATTCAAATTGGGAGACATGAATATTTAGAAGTGCTAGCTACTTAAAAGGCTTAACTGTCGACAACACTATCATTGAAGCAATGAACCTATAATAAATAAGCAATCGGCTCACCCCATGGCAATTTCTCTCTCTCTCTTTTTTCTGTGTTTGTGGGAAAAATATTAGCATATGACTGCAGGTCTTCAACATATACATCATACCCCACCGAGAATATCTTCTTTTCTTCTAACCTCCAGTATATTAATTATCTACCCATAACTCTTAAAATTACAGCAAGTCATAGCATACATTTAGTGTGGAAATCATTGTTGTCATTTAAGAATAGATTTGATTTACAACAATATATATAATTTCACCCTCCTTTTGTGCGTTGTTAAAAAAAATAAAAACCAAAATAAAAAGAAAAACTTAATCTATTATTAATTAATTCGTCGTACAACTTATTTGAAGAATGATTCTTGGTCAATTTTTCCTACATAAAAAAATTAATTGGTATACATTTTCAATATAAAGAGTTTTACACTAATGTTAATTAATATTTTAATCGATAATTAAATAAAAGTAATAATAATATATTAAAGTATTTGTGGATGTTAGTATATACTGATACTACATACCAATTAAATTAAAAAATAAAATAAAATAAATGATCAAAAATTTGGATGAATAAATGGTATTATTAGTACGTTATAAAGTTTTGTGTATAGATTAAATTATTGTATTTTATATGAAGTACACTCTTAATTTTAAAATCGTAATGCTTATAGAGAATTGGCTTAAATATGGTAAATTTGTTTGCCTTCGTACATTAAACAAAAAAAAAGTGTTGAACATATGCATCAAATGTTGCAGTTCTTTCAGAACATTGATAAAATATGTTGGCATTGATAAAATATCACCCTTTTAGTGAAGTATTAATTTGAGATTTGTTCTTATATATCGATTTGGATTTGGGGGTTTATTTTACATCTTTACGGTTTGATTTTATTTACTTATTATGTTGATAAAATATTAGTTGTTATATACAGATCATGATTTTAACAACTTTATTGTTTAATTTAAATATACTTTTATATGTTACCAGGTCCTGCTTGCTATAATTTTCGTTATTTGTTCAGTAGATTGCATTGAAATTCGCCCAAACAGTGACTGTATATTCTCATATAAAGACAATAAAGTTGCCTCTGAGTCTATACATGAGATTTGATTGTACAAGTTTTATTGCTCCCTAATGACAGCCTAACACTTTGTTTGTGGGATAAAAATTTAAATAATAGGCTATCATCGGTGTAAACTTTATTTTCCTTCTCTCTTTATATATATATATATATATATATATATATAGGGGCAGGTTATATTTAAAAAATTTTAGTTTACAAATTCTTACAAACTACACTATCTTCTCTCGGGAGAACACTAGGTTTCACTATGTTCTTCCGGGAGAAGATAGTATAATTTGTAAAAATTTATCATAAAAATTTGTAAACGGATCATTCCTCATATATATATATATATATATATACGGGTTTTACTTTCTTTTTTTTTGGTAAGCTATATGGGCTTTACTTTTCTTCAGCTGCTTGACGTCCAACAAATAAATTCGGGGAATCATAATCATACAAAGTGGGTGAAAGTATTAGATGCGGGGAATCATAATCAATCAATGATGTAAGATTTAATATTGGACGTCCAGCAGCCGGAGAAATAATTTTACCTATATATATATATATATATATATATATATATATATATATATATGAATAAGTTATTCTACCTAACTTTTTTTCTACCTACCTTTGCCTACCACTCTCCAATACTGTTAGATCAAAATTTAAAGAGGTGAGAGAAAGATAAATGTTAATTAGCAATCTAATCTAATAATCTTTTAGAGTGATAGGCAGAAAAAAGTAGGTAGAATAACTTATCATATATATATATATATATATATATATATATATATATATATAAATGATTTTAGTTATTATTGTTAAATATGTAATTCAGCTAGTTAGGCCCACTAGAATATTTGATGATAA